GTTTTTAAGAATTTAAGTCTCGGAGTGTGTGTCCCCTTAAACTCTCTTATTATTCCAACACTTTTTGATGACAGTTTTAAATGCAAATAAAAAGCTCGTGGTGGTTGAAAGGGTTTTAATCAGTAAAAAACCCGGTGCATATGGGTATGCTTTAATAAATGAGATTCCTGTACGGATATGCAGTATAAAGCCCCAATTTCAAGCCATACTCGTAAAGCATTTAGTAAGGCATGGAAAAAACTATTTTATACGAGGAAACGTTTTAAATACTATTTTTTTTAACTTTTTGACTAAAATAAAATAAATCTGATACATTAACTTTTAAACTTGCAATGTCCATGATACATATTTAAATACAGTGGTCTCAGAGTACTTGGTGTGTGACCACAGCCCGTGCAACTTGGTCGAATCGATTTGTCCAGACTATTATAAAAAATGGTCCACTTGACGTATTATCTTCGCTGTTTGCTAATTATCACTGTTTTTGCTGGTTCAATGAACAGTTATATAAGTACTGGTAGTAATCAAAATTTTTGAAAAATGTTTTCTCCTAGAAGGATTTTGCTGATATTTTTTTTTGTTATCTTGCGGAACAAGGGCGTTTCATAGGAATGACACTTGCTTTTTGACGTACCACACTATTTCTTAGCCCAAAATTATCTTTGAGTTTTCGAAGTTGACCTAAAAAATTATAACATTGGGAAAAAAGAAACTTGCCTTTTCAACATTTCATCGCTGTCGAAATAATTCGCAAAATTTTTAAATTTTTCTGGTGTCCAATTTTTGAATCCAATTCTTATTTTTTGCGTTTCTATTTAATATTAAAATCGAAGACATCGCTGCATTTGTTGGTAACGACTATGGCGGGGGTTTTGACTTCCCCAATAAGTGGATAATGATCTGTTATCTTGTTTTGCTCCAACACCGCAATTTATAGTTTTTGTAGCTGGTTACCTTTCCGTTCTGTTTCTTGTATTGTGTGAAATAGAAAATTAGATTTTTATAGAAGATGTACTAGTTCTTGGTGGTTGTGGTAAGACCGTTTATAGACGACTGATCAGATTGTTATATTTATATGGTTAAACCAGAGAAAGGTCTGCTTAATCTGGTGTTGGTTATAGGTTTTAGTGTAAGAAATGACCTGTCTTAGTTATTGCTTCCGTTATGAAATGAGTTTAGTTATAAAACGTAATTATCGTAATGGGATATCTTTTATTTGAGCACATCAATCATAACATTTACCTACACCAGTTATTCTTGTCCCATGGCTCGAAACTGAAATCTTGAGTTCAACGACCGTGATTTGAATAATTATTTGAATCCGTATAATTGTGTCTAATAGTAAAGTAAATTCTGCACGAGGCATTTCGTTAGAATATTAGATTACAGATTACTCTGATTTTATTGGTGTTCATTTATTATAATTTTTTTTTATGTTTTAGGTTAATCAGGGAGGCTTATGCTCTTTGTCGCTTTAATCAAAATAAAAAATTAGTATTCGACAGCCCTTCTAATTATAAAAACGCACCGTTATCTGCAGACGTTTGGTCGAACAGGGGTGCCACACAAGAGTTTCGTACACTCTAAAAACTTTTTCTTCTCTATTTTACGAGTTCCCTACTTTAGTAGAAGGATTCTTTCGAAGTACATAGTTCCTATTTGACATCTTAAAAAACACGGTTATGGCGAGCGGTGTGATTGACATCAATAACCTCGAACATTTAAACGAGTGATCAGAATATAATCCATTATAGAATCAGTACAACACACATATTAGTTGGAATGTCTTTTAAGATCTATTCTCTGTTACGTGAAATTCTCTGAATAATTCTTTATAACAATGTCAATTTTCGTTCCGCTCTGAAAACCAAACAGCTCTGTTCATTATTACTGTATGTCAGTTATTTCTAATTCTTACCCATTTTATTGCATTATACACTGGTCTCTAGAAGCAAAACAATTAGTCTCATTCAACTGCGTTAGGGTACAGCTGTTCTAAATAATTTAAGAAGCTTTACCACGAGACATAATTTGACCTTTGTTTTGGCTTTGAACTCTCTAAGTCCTCAACTATTTAGTATCGAGAAATGGGCTGCCCTTAAACAATGTTAACCTTGTCCAAGTGGTTTCCTATAATCTGGTCTTATGATGTGGGAGATTTGGGAGCATAACGTGACAAGGTTGCTATTCGGGTTTCCTTATAAGAGAGAAGTTTCTTGACTTTTGCAGTCACGTTTGCAATTACCGGTCGGGGTTGCCGGATGGCACAAATCTGCAATTAGATGCGGTAAGCTGTTTGGTTATACACATTAATTACTTAATTATTAGATATGAGTGTGAACGCATTGCCAATCATAACCAAATTTGTGCAATGTGAAGCCAAAGAATGCACTTAGTAGTCTTAATAAATTTTAATACATAACTAACAACTCGTAAAAGTTTACAGATCTATACAAAAAGTAAAACATTTCGTATATAAGATAAAAAAATAACAATGATATCTGTCGCTTTGCATTTTTTAAGACCCATTAAAATTAGTAAAAATAACTTTTTTGTTTATTAATGATATGGAATTTCGTTTAGCACATTAGGCACATTTCTTACATTCATGTGTTTCCACACAATACATTTCTCCCGATGATGTTGTTCTTCTGACGAAGTAGCTTTATCTTAAAAGATCGTACGATATAATGTATTAGAAACCAGATATCTTATTAATATCAGCTATTTATAATCAACATTCCACGCAAAAGCCCGGAAAACAAGATAATCATTATTTTAATGATCTCATGACATCATATCGAGTTGTGTCAATGGATAGTACATTTCCTTTTACATACAAAAAAGAATGATTATTTGCATTCTAATGATTTATTAACTGACTGCAAGTATATTAACCATTTTGTATACTTTTATACAAATAGTCTTTTAACCCTCTCCTGCTATACTCATAAGACATTTTGGAAACACTCGTTGTAATTAATTACCTATACTCAGGGATTAAAGATGACAAAACGATTTTAAGTACAATTAATGACCCTATAATAATTCTTAAGCATATACGAGTATGCAGATATTCATTACAATTTTACGTTTAGAACCTGACAGGAACTCACTGAGAACGTCTTAAAATCCTTTCTGTTCAACTTACCTTGACTGTATTATTGTCGCTTATTGTCATAGGTTTTTTAGATATTTATTTTTCGTTTTTACTTAAATGTTGCGCGTTCTTTGATATTATAATAATATATAAAAATAAATAGTACTTATTAGATGGGAAACTTGTATTGTCATATTATATGTAGACAGGTATTATTAAGTAATACCCGTTAAGTCGTCATAAGCCAAATGATTAACTAGCTTAATTACCATTAATTATGCATTGGTTAACGCAGATACAACGTTGTTTTACGTATAACCAAAATATTAACTTAACAAGCTAGTTATTGAAAAAAAAAAACTAAAAAACGACTGCGTGAAAATTTACAAAGAGAGGATTTTGTTTTTTATAATTTTGATATACCACACTATCACAATAAAGACGAATCTAACGACACCTCCCAAGAAAAAATCCTTCAACCCGTATACTACAGAGCATGTCAAAGAAATATATATTACATACTTACACTAGAAAAACAACCCTCCTCCTGGTTGCAGTCGGGTAAAAAGTACTACTACTGCAACTGTATACGTTTTCCTTTCAAATTATTTATGTAATAAAAGATATATTATTAAAGCTTTGTCCTTTGTTTATGAACAGCGAAATTTACATTTACAACTACAACAATTTAATTGCATTTCTCTTGCAGTGTCAAAGTGAAAACAATTCCAGTGAGAAAATCCTTTACAGTTTTGTTTCTATTTTAACGTAAGGGAGGTTCAAAAAGTTTTCGTATATATATTATTTTAGTTTACAAGTTTATACTAGCAGCATGAAATGCTATGAAGAATAGATTGCAATCATTTCAAAAGGCAGACTGTAAAGTAATCCTTTTTCATTATCTGTAATACCTATCTAATGTCAAATTTTCTACGCCTACTGATATGATTCGACATGGAAATCGTACACGACCTTAAGACTTTTGAGGTGTGACTCGAATTGATTAATGTGTTAACTTCCAGTTTGAGGTCGAAGGAACAAACAAATTCTTACTCAACGCCGAGATTTATCCATTTTACCTTCATTATCAGGTAGATGCAACACCGGCTTTTCGATTCGAATTACGTTTATTAGCACAATAAGTAGCCGCTTCACTAATCCCGGAGCGTGCAACCAAATCGCATTAAAACCGGAAAATCGATTCCAGGTTAAATTTTAAGTAGTCTTATTAAAGCGATCAGATATAGATAAATGGCTGTAAAAAATTAAAACGTAAATTTCTGGGTGTTTTTAATAATGCCGGATAGGGCAATTTGCTTATTAAGTTGCTTTTATTCGTCTCTTGACTCATCCTGGCGCCAAGTTGAGACTAGTATGGTAATGAGGTTCTTACTATTTGTTCGCTGTGAGTTTTGGAAACCGGAACGAGTTATTAAGTCAACCTTGCTATCCTTACGGCCTGTTTTTGTGATGCCAATGGTATTACACCGGAAATCGTACCTGTTTAATGGTTGCATTCTTGTTACGACATCTTTTTAACGTTTCACATTAACTTTTGTGTAGCTCTTTAAATTATTAATCTTGTAAAGATAACAATTGCAGTGCTGCTTGGCACAGGACTTGTTAGTTGTACAATTGATTGTTTATTTCCTGGTTTCGAGTGGGTTACTCTTAACAAGTGGTTAGTGACCTTGACGGCCAAGCCAGGTCGTGGGTTCTACTCCTAAAATAATGTAAAATATATATGTCTTTAGAAATATATACGTATGTTTATCATCTGTCTGGATACCATAGTACTGGCTTCGCCTAGTTTGTGAAGTTGTCATTATTATTATTTTTAATGTAACTTTATTTTTGTTTCAGATTTTACAAAGTGATGCTATAAAGACATTCAACAAAAATGTATCTTCACGTAGTCTTAGCTTTAAGTGCAATCTTACTCTGTGATGCCAAAATCCCAAGGTATAAACCTAGCGCGCAAAACGACTTGCCGCCAAACCCTACACAGAATGGGCAAGCGATGTCCCTTTTACAAGCCCAAACGAAATCAGTAAAAACTAGTCGAATAATCGATCAATACAGAGTGCGACATCGAAGAGAAGTTTTCGACTCCAAATCTTATGAGTCGAGTTTAACATGGGCACATTCTGAGAGATTAGATCAGAATGGTGACGTGATTCTGCGATGGGTGAATACAGATTCCAGTATCACGTTCAGATTGGAAGCGAGAACTCATGGTTACGTTGGTTTAGGTTTCAATTCGGCGAAGAACATGAGAGGTGCGGATTTGGTAGTCGCCTGGGTTGACGACAGGAATGGCAACGCACAGATTTTGGTGAGTTTATCAAGATTATTAACAGCTGTTGTTTTTCTCACGATGTAGGGTGGTCGGGCTTTAAGATTTTGTCTTGTTTATTCATGAATAAGTTAAATGTTATTGTTTATTAATGCTGTACAGTTCAATTCTAAAACTAAATGTTATCTTGAGTTATATTTGAAAATCGATTTTGAATTTGTTCTGTAAAAAAGTCAATGTTTGATTTCCCTATCAATTAATAGAAGCTTCAAAGATACTGCTTCCTGATACAGCTATGTAGTATTTCTTTACGAGGCCGTTTATAAAAATATCTGACAATCTAAGGTATGGTTGGAATATACGTGTATTTAAATATGCCCAAAACATACATACCTATAACGTGTATTTGGTCCTTATCCTCTACTATATCGGGCGACATAAAGTTATGTATATCTAAATTTTAATATAATAAAATAATATCATGAACATTTTTGTGGACCATAATATCGGTAGTAATGACCAATTAAGTCATTATCCGATAAAACTAATTTACTTAGTAAACGCAGAATTAACGGTTTCAGTCAATAAAAGACGAGTATACAAATATATAGAAATATCTCACGGTAGGTTTAATTGCACTATCTCGATATTAAGCAACATAATCTTTACAATTAATTAAATTAATAAGGGGCCGTTTCCACTGCATGTTTGTAAGCGCAGTCAACGCTTAACAGCGGCACAAAATGTACAACTATTTGGAATTTGTATATGAATTCAAATTCAGCCTTTATAGATATAGTTAACACTATCTGGGGCCCGCGACTTCGTACGCGTGGAATTTGAAAAGCGTGCCTTAGTGGGTTCGATTCCCGGACCGGGCAAAATTTTATATGCTTTTTTGAGGGAAAAAAGCTTAAGTTACTCCTTATATAGACTGCTACCTGGTAGTAAAATATTATCAAAATCGGTCCAGCCGGTTTGAAGATTATCCGGAACAAACAACAAACAGACAGACAGACCGACAGACAGATAGACAAAAATATTTAATCTGGTTTTTAATAATAATAAAGATGTCAGTAACATGTTGAACTTACAGCTATATTAGTACCTACCTTTTATAATTTATGATTGTGTTACTAGTCAGAGTTGCCTGCAGTGGAATAAACGCAAAACAAAATACCTGTGATTCTTTTCTTTTGGTTATATAAGTAAAATTTCTTGGGAATCCATAAAGATAAAATAAACTTATCAACCTAACATTTAAAGTCGGTCAATCATTGAGTCTGTACGACTCTTTATCAATTAATTGCTACCTATACGCTTGCTTATGTAATTCGTAACTAAAACATCTTGAAAATAATATTTTACATAGATTTGTATTAATTAATTAAATACCGAAATGTCGATCGGAAGTTGCGGCCATTGGCCGAAAAGTTATTGGTCGCGGCATTCGTCGCGGAGACATACGTGTAAGGTTCATTGTCTATTAATTACTACCTACACGCTTACCCAGTCCCACATACTAATACACGAATATGGTTAGATTCGTAATAATAATAGTATATATTATATTACTAGCTGAGACCCGCGGTGTTACGCACGTTTGTTGTTATAACCGCGGGCAACGCCGCGGGGCGAAGCTAGTCTAAAAAAGTAGCCTAAGTTACTCCTTATGTCATCAGCTATCTGCCAGTGAAAGTCCCGTCGAAATCGGTCCAGCCGTTCCAGAGATTACCCGGAACAAACAGACAGACAGACAAAAATTGTAAAAAATGTTATTTTGGCATATGTACCGTGTAAACATACATATGCAATTAGTAAAAAGCGGTTATTTTAATATTACAAACAGACACTCCAATTTTATTTATTTGTATAGATATTTTCATATTCACTCATTAATAGAAATTTTAATCAATTTTTTTTAAAGTCACATACCTATCTGACTTCGTTTAATAATACTTAGAATTGTTATTAAACGTTTAAACATAACTATCTACAACTAGTCTTACTTATGATATATTCTGTAACAAGAAATGTTAGACACACACCAAATCACATTAAATTTATGTGTCTACCAACTTTGCAATCAGAACTCTAGGGAATCCAGACACGAGTTCTTGTTCAAAATGTAAATTGTTCTTTGTCTAGGATGTGACATAATATAATTATTTTTTAATTTAAAACATTTTAGTACCAAATCTTTAAAACCTTTAAATAAATTAGGTATAAATAGCTTATGATCGTATTAATTTATGATTTTATAAATTCACATTATTCTCTCGATGATATTCGTGTTCCACCTTATTGTTACGCTAGATAATCTTATTATATCAAATATTAAGACGCGAGTTACGTAGAAGAATCTCGTTTATATATTTCATCGATAATATTAACATTCATAACAAACACTTGATACGCACATATGTATGTATATAAATGTATATAAAGTTTACTATAACTGCTGCTGCAAAGAAATAATAACAGTCTCTGTTTATTTTCAAACTTAATAAAGGCTCAATTTATCAATAGCTTCGCACAGCAAAGAAAAATATTGGTAGAATCTACACGCTCTTTCCTTCGTTCACAATTATTTCCTCCTACATGTTCCTCGTAAAAATAAACGTTCATATCGACATATAAATAAATGAATATTATTATTAAAGTGAATGTAGAAACTAATTAAAATGCTCACTATAAAACAACTTGACTATTACAGACTGATGTCTTTCTCCACATATCTGTCATTTCCTCATCCTGATTAGTTCATCTTAAGGAAGCCATTGCCTTATTAGAATTCTAAGCTCGAAGTCATTCGATATTATAATATAATTTCAATACGGATTTATTTTATTGAGTATCGATCCCTCCAATTAGACGGTTCCTCAAAAACTTAATAAACGTTTATAACGAATTAAGTTGTCAATTCCATTTTAATTAATATGTTTCATAATGCATCTGTAAAATCACTTCCTTATTGTAATTGTTATTATTATGATTCTTCGTTTTATTAATGCACCGCAGGGTCCCTTTCTCAGTCCAATCACTATTCAAAGTAATATTATCACCACTTAAACCATTCTAAAGGGGTCGATAGTAATTTATTGTTTATTAATATTATTAAACTAAACGTGTTATTACATAATTAACTTTTTTTTAAAGTATCATCTAATTCAAAGCGCTGATGTCGAGATACATTTCAATTATTTTTTCTTACCTTAATTTTCCACCCTGAAATAAAAAAAAAAAACAAAATCTCGTTATATATGGCCGAAGTTCGGAGGTAACAAACATAGTAACAATATAATCGAATTAAGAAACCACCTTTTTTGAAGTCAGTTGAAAAGTTTTACAACATCGCACAAAACGATTGAATGAAAACAGACTATGAATGAAGGAACGCCGATTGTATTCGGTTAAGTCAGCTTGCGTAAACATCGCATACGCCTGAGGCTAGATGTTCAAGGGAACTTGCAGCTGTACATAACCTGTTACAAGGAAATGTTTGATCGTATATTTAACAACTGAAAGCAAACCTAGAAGACATCTTTTCACTGAATACTTGAATATTAATGATGTTTTCTGGCTAATGATTGAAGAATAATATTGAAGATAATTTAACTGAACAAATTTTCTGTATAGAATGGTATGCCTACCATAAAACGTTTTTTTTTAACGGAGCCAGCATAGGATGAAAAAGCTTTTGGATTAAAAACATATTTTATGCTCTGCGATGCCCTTAAGCCGAAAACCGATCGAAGTGGCGTGCAATAGGAGAGGCCTATGTCCAGCAGTGGACTGCGATACGCTGATGATGCCGTTAATCCGATCATCATGAAGGTTAGCATTGGCATACCCCTGGATATATTATGAAGTATAACTTTTATTCGCTAAAAAGTTATCCACTGGGTGGGAAAGACACCTTTAAACGCTATTTTCTACATGAAAGTAACTACAGCCTTTCCGGTACTTCACGTATCACTTACCAAATACATAGTAATATCGAAAAACGTCATTTTGAAAAAAAAAATCGCTTAATCGCTTAGTTTAGTCAACAAAGCAGCGCTCAAATATTCTGATTTTTAAATGAATTAATCGAATTAGCGAATCACGTCGTAGATCATGTCATAGAGTTGTCGGTGGTGGGCAAATGTCACGGTTCGGCGGTCAGGACGTTGACATGCCTATCAAAAACCGCATCCCATTGTCTCTCTAGAAAAACAAGTCTACTTTACTTTTTACGAGTAACGAGTGCTTTCAGACCTGATTTTTTACCAGCTTGTATGTTTTTGCATACAATTGCAAACAAAATTGATACCTAAGTAGCATAGCTCAGACGGCAATTTATAGTTATTTCATCTTTAAACTCTGTAATAGAAGTACTGTATAAGAGCACAGCCGCCTCTCATTAAAGTCGAAAGTCAGAGCTCGGATTCTGGACATCCTAGGAGATTCATCACAACCGTAAATTTTATATATATTGTTCGTGTATATTATATGTATGTATGTAACTCTGCAATTATATGTGTATGTGTATTTTAGTATGAATTTATATATATCTGTCCCACTGTTTATGTCCATCTCCTCAATTAAGTATAAATATTATCTTTTTGTCCGCGTGGTGATGCAAAGAGAAGGAACGCTTGATGCAAACCCTATACCAACCCGTTTGGCCAGCCAGTAGGCCAAAACCTCCTTTCTAAGGAGAGGCCTATGTCCAGCAGTGGACTCCTAAAGGCTATTGATGATCTGATTATCTTTTTTTTTTAATGACAACTCCCACTTTAGGAATAAGTACATCCTGTTCTTTTTGTTCTTTTTTAAAAAGACAACTCCCGCATTAGGAATATATCCTGTGTCGCGGGGGACTTTACAAACATACATGAAACGAACACAAAGAACATCCAGACTCAGAACAACAATTTGTGGATCACACAAAGTGTCGTCCCATGTGGGGTTTGAACCCACAACACTCGGTGTAGTAGGAAGCGGCGTGGCGACCGCTTAAACCACTACGCCATCCGTGCAGTCAATCCTGTGTC